TGCTGCACTGGGTCCCGCGATCGTGCAGGTCTCTACTCGGAAGGTGCCTGTTATAATGTTATGATCGAGGTTCTGGACTCTGAGCATAACCAAATGTTATTGCACTTTTGTTCATATAGCAGTACTTTGAAATGAAAAAAGTGTGCAATACACATTATTGAATTTTGTGCATAACAATGTGATTAATTGTGATTAATCGCAGAAAAATCATGTGATTAATCGCGATTACAATTTTAATCGATTATAAGACTGACAGACTGCAACAGTTTGTGTTAAAAATCTTCGTTTGCGTTCTGCTGAAGAAACAAAGTCACCTACATCTTGGATGCCCTGGCGGTAAGCAGATAAACATCCAATTTTCATTTTTGGGTGAACTATCCCTTTAAGGCTTAATATAATTTAAACGGATGACTTATAAAAAAAATTCACCCCCCTCACAGTTGTCATGAAGGGCAAAATTAGCTATATAGGCCAAAATAATTTTTTGAACCAGGCTGTAAACATGTTTTTTTTCTGCTGTAAAGTTGGGCATTTTAACATGGGGAGTCTAAGGGATTGACTACTGTTTTACTGTATTTTTGATCAAATAAATGCAGCCTTGATCAAAAATAGAGACTTCTTTCAAAAATATCTTTCCAACCCCGAATCTTTGAACAGTATGTACGCATTATGTTTATTTTATAATGTAGTTAAAATCCTAATGTAATTCTGTCAATCATCTGCACAGAACAACATCTTTAAAGCCACCCAGAAGCTTGATGAGCTGAAGAGTCAGCTGAACTGGGATCAGCAGACCCTGGAGGCCTGGCTGCAGGAATCAGCACACAAGGATGAAGACACCATGGCTATCATCAAGTACGCCAAGCAAGACGAAAGCAAGATTCGAGTGAGTTCCTAGTAACAGTGGCAGGATCATCTGTTTGAGTCGGGTCACTTCGTATAGCCAGTTCGGCTGTCATTAAGGAAAATGTCAAAGGCTGCCTTGCACAAGCTATCCTCGCTTTATTCAATGCAAGTAGCAATATTGTAATACTTTTAAGGGTTGAATGCATTTGCGGCACTCAGTTGTTAAACAAAAAGTGAGAATGCCAAGTAACACAAAGTACCTGGGTAAATCTCACAAAACCTGCCAAGAACATGTTTGTGTCAAATCTCACCCTAAAAGAACAAATGAAGAAATGACTGAGTTGAGCACAACACCCCCCCCCACACACACACACATTATAGTCATTGTGTGATGCGTAAAAATATATACAGTATATCTAAACTGTAAATTATTCTTGTACTGCCTTTAATTTGTACATTACGATCATTATAATTTAAGGGACAAACATGCTTAACTGCCAAAAGGTTATAAAACTTTAATTAAAGTATTAAAGCTGCAAGCAGCAATGAACGGGCCCTCGCACCCGGGCTCACCGCCACCCGGTGGCTTTAGGAAAACAGCAATCAGTGGGCAATATGCAATAAGTGGTAAATATAGGAGGAATATGTCAAAGTCATTTATATGTGCCAAACTTCCTGCTGCCAGCTGGTGGCGCTATGATTATAACTGGATGTTGGCATGTAGATGTCTTACATATATTAGGCCCTCAAAAATGCGATTCACTTTGGAGAAGAAGAAGAATAATAAGAAACGGAGCAATTCCAATAGGGTCCTCACACTAGGGTGCTCGGGCCCTAAAAATAATTGAAATAAATAATAATAATGTATCAGCGTTATTTTAGTAGTAATGCTATACTATTCACATTACTATACTATTCACATTTTATATAATATATCATCACATTTTTGGATTATATTTTATTTTTATATTTTCATTTTTTATGTAGTTTTTAGTTATGGTTTATTTAGCTTTAATTATTTTAGTGCTTAAACTAAATGAAAATGAGAAATGTTGGCAATTAGCTGAAATAAAATGTTTTTTATATTTGATTTTATTTTCAAGTAAAGAATGTTTTTGTAATGGTTTTAGTTCATTTAGTAGTTGTAGTGTAGTTACCTTATACATACATACTGTATATACAGTCAAACCAAAAATTATTCAGACACCAGATATCATTTTTGATATTTTTTTACTAGTAGGTGCAGGACACTATAGTTCATGTAAGTTAGGATAGCAAAATAAAGCAAATTATACCCAAATATTATTCATACAGTGGACTACCAGTAAAATTTGGGACCAAAAATGATTCAGACACTTTGATCTGATCATGTTTTGCTTAAGTGTTATCTGACATTATCAAGATGAATTTGTTCTGACACAGTTTAACTCTGAGTTCTTGTCATATTTTATTACCATTTTCTAAACTATAGGGAATAAACTAATAATGTGTGAAATGTTGAAGGGGTCTGAATAAATTTTGGTTTGACTGTATATACTATATATATATTTATACATATATCTATATTTTTCATGAGATTTGCTCACTTGTATGGCACATATTTTAGAAATTTGAATATTTTTGGATAAAGTAGTGTGCTGTTAAGCTTGTAGTCAACAGTTTGTATTGCAGAATAACTGCCATGTCTGGATTGAGATAATGTCTGCCTTTTGAATCAGGAGTTGACGCTGAACATTGAGAAGTTGACTCTTGAAGCCAACCAGAAGAGAAAAGCCTTGGACAGTGAAGTCACTGAGACTGTTACAGCACAGGTGATAGATGTTTTTCTTGCTCCCTCTCATTTCTCAATTTTGAGAGGACATTTTTATGATTTGAGCATGCTATCATTCTTAAAGACTTTGGTCTTAGCAAATGCACTTGTATTTTGGGATGCAGGTTGCTCTTGACAAGACAGCCGAGAGCTTTCGTCAGGCTCACATTGAGAGACAAGAGATGATCAGCCAGTGGGAGAGCACCATTGAACAAATGAGAAAAAGAGACCAGGAGATACAGCAGTGTGCCATGGTAACCTGAAGATGGCACTCTTTTAATTCAAAGACATCATTGTTTCTGTGCAGTTTTTTTTTATAAGATACATAACTATCTAAATCTGTATCAACAATTTAATTCAGAAGACAGTTTATTTTACTTTGAATGTGAATCACTTGATATTCTAGATGCAGGCAGAGATGAACCAAGTAATAAGAGAGAAGAATTATTTGCTCAAGGAGAGGAAGGACTTCATGGAGCGTGAGATAGAGAACAATAAAGAGCTGGAGAGGAATATAAGTGCGGCTGAACGTCAGGCGCTTCGACTCAGGCAGCAGCATCAGGAAGAGGAGAGGAGCCAAAGGCGTCTGCAGGATGAGGTGAGTCTACCAGAGCTTCCCGACACTGGGGTGCTTCTCATCTCCTAAAATGTGCATCCACAGTTCATTGCTCCTCTATCCTTAAGCCCACGATGACCCAGAAACCAATCAAAGTCCATCATGATGAAAAGTGTACCAATCATCTTTATCATTCTGCCAAGGCTGTTATGGTACCATGATAAAATTACCGTTTTTTGTTCTTCAAAGACCTTGGGGTACCATGTAAATACCACAGTAGATGAATATGTTTATTATGGAAATTATAAAAGTACCATGGCATTATCATATGATTCCATCAGTGTACCATGGTACAGTACATGATATGTGTGTTGTTGTTTTTTTCATGTTAATCAAATGTAAATGTATTTATGAATTTGGTTAAACTAATCGAACGTGGTGTTTTCCTCTCAGGTGGAAGTGCTGAAGGGAACTTTAGACCGAACAGCCACAGATGTGGAGACCACCCGATCTCAGTTAACCAGCATGAAAAAGGACATTCAGGACAAAACAGCAAAGTAATGCATTCTCTTTTCTCAGACAACTACTCAGTCTTATAGCTCACAGTCCACCAATCACTTTTTGATATGTTTTTCCTCAGTTCTTTCACTCACTTTTAATCAGGGTTGCCAGGTTTTCACAACAAAGCTCGCCCAATTGCTACTCATAACTAGCCCAAAACTAGCCCAATTGCGTTTCGAGGGGGATCCCCCGGTAAAAATCGCATTCCGGTGGGGTAAAATACACATTTTTGGTGGGGTTCCCCGGTAAAATTCGCATTTTAGGGGCTAAATATCATGTTATTGGGGTCGCTTAAACCCGCGGACATGAAAAATAACCCGCGGCAACAGTGTTAAAGTAGCCCAATTCCGCGGGAAAACTGCGGACTTGGCAACACTACTTTTAATGGAATTGGCAAAAATCTGTTACAAGTGCTTAAACAGAAGAATAGAACAAAACAAACAAATAGAACAAACACCACACCTAAAGTCAGATCTGACATTGCATAAACATTGCAGATTAATTGTAGTAATGTATGCAGTTCTTTTGTTGTAGAGTTGAAGAGGCAAAGCTGCATAACGCTGCTCTGAAGGAGAAACTGCAGATGGTGACAGAGGCGGTGCTGGATGGTGAAGAACAAGCAGCACAGATGGAGCAACTGCACAGAGAACAGGAACAGAACATCAAAGTGAGTTTGACTCCTTTGTCTGCTTTTAACTCTTCAGCAATTCACTGCCAATCTGAGCATCATTTTGTTTTGCATTGAATAGCCATATGGCTCAAAAAAACAGAGGGGGCTGCTCTCTCTCTCTCTCTCTTTCTCTATGGTTTCATAAATGTTACTATATTGTGTACCATGTATTGACCATTCAGTGTCCAAAATTCCACAGCACTGCTATTTTAGTATTATTTATATACTATTATAAATTATAGTTTTCATTAATATTTTGAATTAGCTTTTATTTTAATTTTTTACATTTTATTTTAATTTTAGTAGTAGTGCTATATTCTTTTGCCATTTTTTCCTGTTTGTAATTTTAGTTCAAGTTTACTTGAACTTATTTTAGTTAGTTGCGAAAGCAACATTTCTAATTTTCATTTAGTTCAGGTATTTCATGTCATATTTTGAAATGCTATTTCAGCTTCATTTTAATTTAACAGTTTTAGCTTTAATTAACAATAATAATAACCCTCATTCAAACGGTTGGAAAAATAGGACACACAATGCACTGTTATGATCAATAACCCATAAATGCCAAATACTGTACTATTTTGTCAGTAAATAAAACACTAAAAACTAAAATCAGACTTTTGAAATTCTATAAATAAATTTAGACATCTCAACATTACAATGTACAGTATGGATTCATTTAGAGATTTGCTAAAGGTTACATTTAGTAGTGACATTTTGAGTACAGTACATTTGACAGCAAAGGTAATCTAAATTTAAAAAATAGGAGAAATGCACAATTATCCAATATCGGCCGATACATATATAATTTTTAAATTATTATTATTTGATCATACATAATCTATTAATCTGTTAAGCATTTTGTTAATGACCTATTTATGAAAGTTATTATAATTTGTTCACTTTATTTGTATTTGGATTAATAAAGCATTCATGCATAATACTAGACTGATCAATGTGATTTAGTAAACATTGAGGTCTTATGAGAATTAGATTATAATTATATTTGTAAGTGAATTTTGCTCTACTGTAATCAAAGTTTTTTGTTACTGCTTGTGTGTGTAGGAGATCGATGCTCAGCTGCTCTGGCAGAGAGAGCTCATGTTCAGAAAGAGTAAGGAGTTGCAGGGACTGCGTGATAAAGAGAAGAACACCACAGCTGAGATCTGCGCCACCCGGGCCGCTATCTCCAACCTCGACAGCAGACTCAGCAAACAGGACCAGAACTTGCTCAAACAGCAGATGATAATTTCCAACCAGGCAAGAGATCCTTGTCTCTGTCAGTGTCAACAAAGAGTTATCATCTAGTTAACACAAGCTGGACGGTTGTTTTCTGGAAGTTGATAGATGACTCAAGTATGGTTCTTTTGTTTGGTCTAGGACTTTCAGATCCAGATGCTGGAGAGGAAGACTTTACACTTGCAGGGGAAGGTGAACACAGAAGAAAAGGAAGCTCTGGAGAAGAAGGCCTCTGATCTGGGTGAAGCTCTAGAGGAGAAGAAGAGGACAGCCGCCACCCTCACCACACAGCTGAAGAAACTGCAGGTGCGAGTGTGGGCCTCTGTTGTCACAAAACAACGATTTTATTACCATTTTCTAAACTATAGAGAATAAACTGTGATAATGTGTGAAATGTTGAAGGTGTCTGAATAAATTTTGGTTTGACTGTATAAATATATATATATACACTACCATTCAAAAGTTTTAGATCAGTAATGTTACAAAAGCTTTTTATTTCAGATAAATGCTGTTCTTTTGAACTTTCTATACATCAAAGAATTGTGAAAAAAACCTATCTATCTATCTATCTATCTATCTATCTATCTATCCATCCATCCATCCATCCATCCATCCATCTTATTTTCTTCTTCTTCTTTTGAATTTGGGGTGAAACATGGTTTTGGGATAAAACTATTTTGATGTGTATTGATGTTTTTAATGGTGCATATATTCTCAGGATGATATCCGCTGTGTTAGGAAAGACACAGAGAAGATCGGAACAGAAAAGAGAGAACTGACCTCCAAGATCCAGGAGCTGGAACTCTTCATTGACAACTCTGAGAAAGACCAGAAAAAACTCAGGCTCAAAAAACAGGTGAATAACTTGATTGGACCTGGAAGAATTGGACAGAATTCTTCATCCAAAGCCACAGAAATTCTACTCTCTTGCCTGTTTGTTTATTGCCTGTTTTTTAAAGTATTTCGGCTAATTTGCCTTCTGTTATCAATTTCTCATTAACAGAATGTTTTATTAATATATTCCACAAATGTTCCCCCACCATCAGCACTTGCTATCAGCACAACTGATCAAATGTATAATGAATTATTAATCTATTGTAGATGACCTAATCTATCAAAAGCATTTAAAAAATATCAGCAGTGACAAATGGGAGAGAACAACAAAACACATTTGCATCTGTCTCACATGTGTGCATGTCTCCTCCCTTCAGGACAGCATGGTGGAGAAAGGTCTCCTGAAGATGGAGGTGCAGCGGCTGAGAGATCTGCTGTATGACCGAGCAGATGGAGTGCTGAGCCTGGAGAAGAGACGTCTGCAGCTGCAAGTGGCCATGAAAGAGAGAGAAGAGGAGATCCATGTGCACAGAGAGATGCTCGCTAAACAGGCCAAGCTCACTGAACAGGAGAGACAAGGGCTCAGGTAAAAACACCACTGACAAAAGAGCACGCTGGCCAATGGAGTTTTAAAATGATTTCATTATTTAGTGTGGCTTAGAAAGATAGATTTGTACTGAAATAAATATATAAATAAAATTAAAATAAATGAATGCCATGATTTATGATTAATAGCTTTCTCTTTTTTACTTTTACTTAAAAAAATTTTTTTTTTCATTTTTAAATATGTTCTTATTTTAATTGTGTAATTTGTAAGTGCTATATAAATAATTTTTTTATAAATCCAGAAAAAAAAAGTAAAAGTAGATCTGCATGGATTTCATGTCATATATTTGATTCCTGCATTGATTTTTTTCTACACTTTGTTGGTTGTGACAAATGGTGTCAGTGCTGCGGTGAATGAGAGACTGTTCAAAATTGACAAGATGAGGAAGAGGTACGAGATCCTTACTGTTTCTATGGCTGCACCAGAGGGAGAAGAGGAGAAATCCCAGGCCTACTTCATTATAAAGGTATCATAAAATGAAAGTTTTTGGAAGTGAAAAAGAACGTCATTGTATAATTTACAGTGAAAAATAAAAAATTGACACTCCCAGAATTACCTGCATGACAGTGTTGTTAAATTAATGTTTATTGCATTATTTCAGTATCATGTGTGTTACCATGATGGTGTTTAGTATTTGTGTGCATGACACTGTGCAATTTCTATATATTAGTATTTACCTCCCCAGCTTGTGGAAAAGCTGTTTGTTATGATCTTTCATCATGTGACTTTATCATCACCACCTGTATTTGGTGGTTATCAGTGTATTACAAAGGTACAAAACAGATAATAGTACTTTAATAGGTTGGTATATTAACATTACGTCAGTAAATGAATATATATATTTTTTTATTGTGAATTTAAGTTAAGACTGTAAAACCTAAAATGTTGCTACCATAATTTTATGGTAATTTTCTGGCAACCACAGCTGCCGGTGTCCTGACATTTTATCCTACCCGTCAGGGTTTACTACGCATGTGCACATCAATATTGCGTCCTTTTTCTCATGCTGAACAACAATATTTAATGTATCTGCATTACTGTAAGGGTAGGTTTAGGGTTGGGGTAGGTGTAGACTTTAATAAAACACAATCTAATAGGTAGAAACAATTATTTATTGTTGGTTTCCTGTAGCTGTATCCCTTCTAGCTACAACCACGAATATAACACATAATTACTGTATTTGCATTACTGTAAGGGTAGGTTTAGAGTTGTGGTAGGTGTAAACGTTAATAAACTATAATTTTACAGGTAGCATTTTTTGTTGTCGAATTGTACTACCCACTGTTTTATGGAAGGTAGCAAAATCTGACAGGGTAGCACAAATCGACAGAACACCGGTATTTTACCGTTATTTGTCACAGATTTTTTTTACCGAAAAAAAAAAAAGATCTGTAATCAGTAAAGAGATGGCATGCTTAGTGAAGTACATCACTGTTTTTAAATATTAAAGGACATTCTATAATACTTTATACTAGTATACTAGGGCTGGGCGATAACCAATATCGTATCGAGATCGAGATAAGCTCTGGAAATATTTATTCAGTAAGGTTTAATCTAACAGCCTAGTAGAAGCAGAAATAAATGTGACAGCAACCAGTCAGTGCATGTCTCTGTGGGAATGAATTGATTACTTTTTAAAATATTGATTAAATTGTTAAGGATTTATTAATTCATTTCATTAGACACCATTTTTTTGATAAATTTGTATTGAATCATTAAACATAGAATCCATAAAAAATTCAAAAGGAAAACAGAATTTAGGGGAAAATAAAATGGATTTCATGGGGCCCTAAATTAAAAGGTAGCTTACTCTGTAGAGTTTAATTGTGAATAAAGTTATGTTTATCTTCATTCTCAAGGTCTAAAGCCCCGTTCACAGCAAGCACGATAACTATAAGGATAACGATAAAGATATAGTTCTAAAAATCGTTCTCAATATTAAAGAATAGCAGAGTCCACACCACAACTATAACGATAAAGACAAAGAAAACCGATATCGTTGGAATCACATTCAAAACGATTTTTCTCCAGCTGATGAATGATAAAAAATTGACAGCCAATCAGAATCCATCCTGCTGTAACGAGCTCAAGAATTTAAAGCGGCAAACGAGCGTGCTCTTAGAATAAACAGACGATATCATTCGCTGGTATGGACGCTAATATCGTTATCTTTATAGTTATCGTTCTTGGTGTGAATGGGGCTTAACACACATATGGAAGCATTTCCTTCCCTGTTAATTTTAAATGAATATCATGATAAATATCAATATCTTATGATATGGACAAAAATATCCCGATAGCCTATTTAAATTTTTCTGGAATATTTTCGAGGATTGAGAGTTGAATAATTTAAAATGCTTGTGAGAAATTATTAATATGTGTTAAACCAGGATATCAAGATATTTAATTATTCCTTTGGCATATGATGGTGATTAAAAGTAAAGTGACTTGTCAAATTCTCTGGCAATAAAATATCTAGGGAAATGTGTTCAGTGTAAAGTGATCTACAAGAGAGAAAATTATAAATGTACATATTTCTATACATTTTCTTGGAATATTTTCCAGGATTGGCTGTTGACAAAAAAGTTTAAATGCTTGTGACAAAATCTTAACATTTATTAAGCCAGGATATCAATCATTTCCTTATTCTTTTGACATGTCATGCCGATTAAAAGTAAAGTGAAAAACCATGCCATATATCTATATTTATAACAAATGATATATTTTTCTTGACTATTTTATCCCTTCAGAGAGCCCTCACTCACAAAATGTTGGAGACCCCTGCATTAATCAAAAGTGACAATAAATACATTTCTAATGTTACAAAAGATATCTATTTCAAATAAAAATGTTGTTCTTTTCAACTTTTCTATCAAAGAATCCTGAAAAAAAAAAATGTATCATGATTTCCACAAATATATAAGCAGCAAAAATGTTTTCAGCATTGAAATGTAATAAATAATAAACGTTTTTCAAGCATCAAATCAGCATATTAGAATGATTGACACTGAAGACTGGAGTAATGATGCTGAAAATTCAGCTTTGCACAAGAAAAAGTTACATTAAAATGTAAAGTGGATATTTCAAACTAATAGTATTTCACAAATGATTTTTTTAATGGTATTTTTACTGTATATATTCAAACAAATGGAGCCTTAGTGAGCATAAGAGACATCTTTCAAAAACATTCAAATGAATAAATCCAAAACAAAGAAGTGCAGCTTGGGTCTTTGAATTCAAAGCTTTTCTACCTCATTTTTTTCATATCAGAATGAACATTACTACTCCAGTATCTACATCTCAATATCTAATAAATTCTGGACTTTTCCTGAAGGCAGCTCAAGAGAAAGAAGAGCTCCAGCGGCAAGGGGATGATTTGGACGGCAAAATCCGCAAGACAGAGAAAGAGATCCACGCATTGGAGAACACCCTGCAGGTTGTCAACAGCTGCAATACAACCTATCGCAAGGCCCTGACCAAAGTCACAGAGTCCAGTAAGTTCATTCACATCATTCTCATTAAAACTACATTTCTATGTAAAAACTGTTTCTTGGTGTTTATAAAGTCAGTCTCAAACACCATAACTCAGTGTCAGCTTCTTAAATCATTCTTCATCACTAATGTCACCGCTTTCCCACAATGCATTGTTTTGCGATTCTAATGTTAAAGGGGTCTGTTAAGTTCGTTTGCGCATCTGAAGTATGAGGAAACAGATGTAGCTATGCTTGAGCAACACTGATATTAATTTATGTGTCATGATCAGTGTTGGGGGTAACGCATTACAAGTAACGCGGGTTACGTAATCAGATTACTTTTTTTCAAGTAACTAGTAAAGTAACGCATTACTTTTTTAATTTACAAGAAAATATCTGAGTTACTTTTTCAAAAAAGTAACGCCAGTTACTTTGGTTTCCCATTTATTGACGCTTTTACATTTGCTATAAATAGAACTTCTTATATTAAAAACAATCAAGCCCTGCTCATATTTAAATAGTAACGCGAAAGTTACACAAAAGTAATGTAACGCATTACTTTCCATAAAAAGTAACTAAGTAACGTAATTAGTTACTTTTTTAGGGAGTAACGCAATATTGTAATGCATTACTTTTAAAAGTAACTTTCCCCAACACTGGTCATGATTATGTTCTGTTTAGTTTCATATTCATGTTATGTGTAGTGTAGGGTATGGATTTCATTGCCTGAGTTCGCTTTCATTTGTTACCGTGGTTTCTTATTAGTGTCACACCTGTTACTTGGTTCATTGATTATCATTCCTCATTTTAAGTCCTCAGTTTTCTCTGTTCATTTTCTGTGTTAAAGTTTATGGTTACTGTGACTGTATTCAGTACTCTTTCAGAAGATGTGTAATAGCTTCTAATAGTGAAAACACAGAAAGCTGGAAAATTCTGTCAGTGGCGGGGAAAGAGTTAAAGTCTCTTGGAAATAGTTAATTCTCATTCTTGGTTCTAAACTACACACACTCGTGGCAACTTGTTGTCACATTAAATATATTCAGCTTAAGTCGTACCCTACACACAAACGTCACTTGTTTATGGTATAGATACTATGTAGGCTTTTATTTGGCATATAAACAATATGTGGAATATTGAATATATATAAACAAATAAGATGTCATTGTGATCTCACTGTAGGTCCTGCGCACCAGGAGAAACTGAAGCTGGAGGAGCAGAGACGAGCAGCCGAGGAGAAATACAAATATAAAAAACGGCAAATCCGAGAACTGCAGGAGGACATTGAAGTAAATATTTCTATTGACGTAAACATTCCTCCAGGCAGAAAGTTAATTTACAATCACTGTGGTGCATCTGCATATCAAAAATGATGACATATGAAATGAGAAACACCAGGAGCAACTAATTTTAGCTAAAGTCTGAATGCAGACAAAAGTTAAATATAAATATGTGTATTATAATCTGTCATGATAGAAAAATGGAAGAATTCCTAACTTTAATTAATGTGTTGGGTATCATGGACTAACAGTTAAAAACAACTAATATATATATATATATATATATATATATATATAATATATATAATCCATGCTTTATAATGGGAGTCGATGGTAGCCCAAAATTTGAAGTCCCCATCCATTATAAAAGAAGTCCACACGGCTCCGGGGGGTTAATAAAGGCATTCTAAATCGACACAATGCGTTTGTGTAAGAAAAATATCAATATTTACAACTTTATAAACCTTAATCTCTAGCTTTCGCTAACTGTCGTACGCGCGTTCACGAGAGAGTGGCGTCCAGCCGATGACGTAAGATGTAGGCAAACACGGTGACGAACGCGGAAGTGACGAACGTGGAAACGCAGAGGAGAGAGCAAAACAAAACACCGGTCACGAATTAGTAGTACAAAGCGAGGATTTGTAAAGAAAAATGTCGGATGATTTCGATATAAGCCAAGATGACACTGGTTTTCCTTTGCTGTAAACAAAACTTGTTTCTCGTGAGACTAGCATATTCTCACCGGAGTTTACGCTACGCTTACGTCCTACGTCATCCGCTGGACCCCACTCTTTTTCTATCACTATTTTTCTTATACAAAGGCATCGCATCGCTTCAGAAGGCATTTATTAACCCCCCGGAGCCGTGTGGACTTCTTTTATAATGGATGGGTGCAATTTTTTGGACTTCAAATTTTGGGCTACCATCCACTCCCATTATAAAGCATGGATTAGCCTGGACATTATTTAATATAACTCCGATTGTATTCGTCTGAAAGAAGAATGTCATATAGACCTAGGATGGCTTGAGGGTGAGTAAATCCAAATTTCAAAAATCTAATTTTTGGGTGAACTATCCCTTTAAGGCTAATTAGCTAGGTCAGGTTGATTCAGTAATAACAAATAATATTTCGATGTGAATTAAAACCAATTAATTTAGATGATAGTACATAAAGCATGTGTTTTCCACATATTTCAGAGCATGTCCCGCACATTGGATGGTCTTCTTCAAGAGGAAGCAGTCCAGAATGAGACAACTGGGAGGACTCAAGCACATGTGCTCTCTCTCAACAAAGACATCCTCTCTCAGGAGGAGAAACTCAATAGAGCCATCAAACAGGTCTGACCACCTGCAGTTTTCCTGCTTTATCTGTTCAGATTCATCATCAAAGGATTTTTCAGTAATTAATGTAGCTAAAAGCATTCATAATAGGCTGTTAAATGGCAGTTTCCGTTGTGACAACATGCCCCGCTAATTAAAAAGTGTGACAACTATATACATATGTATACAAAGTATGGCCAGTAATGAATACCCATTTTATTGTGATAAGCTAATGAGCACCTGGTCTCTAATCTCATCTTGTTCTTATGTCACAGTGTGCCAAACATACCAGGGAAATTCGGTCTGCTAAAAACACCAAAGAGAAGACCTTTGAGGAACGTGACATAGAGCTACGTGAACTCAGAGATTTAAATAAAAGCATAAATAAGATGCTCCTTGAAGCCATGGAGGAGAATCCTGACCTTTCATCTGCACTGCAGATACGTTTTATGCAGGTACAGCACGACATATCATCATTTATAAACAACATGAAGCATTGTAAATACAAAATGCAATCCATTAGAAATCATAAAATGTAATTGCTGCCGTGCCAAAGTGATACAAAGTGGTAGAAAGTACAAGCAAGATGTATTTTGAATCACCTTATGTTAAACATAAAAATGTAACTGTAAAACGTTAAATTATTTTTGTTAAAAGAAAATACGTTCATTCAGCAAAGATGCATTAAACTGATCAAAAGCAACAGTAAAGAGATTTATAAGATTTCTGTTTCAATAAATGTCTTTTATTTTCAATTCATCATAGAATCCTGAAAAGATGCATCATGGTTTCCAAAAAAAATAAAAAATTAGGTAGCACAGCCGTTTTCAACTTTAATAATACTAAGAAAAGTTTCTCGAGCAGCAAATCAGCATATTAGAAGGATTTCTGAAGGATCATGTGACTGGAGGAATGATGCTGAAAATGCAGCTTTGCGTCACGGGAATAATTTACATTCTAAAAATACATTCAAATAGAAAACTATTACTTTAAATTGTAATAAGATGTCAGAATACCTCAATCTGACTGTATTCTAATTTGATCAAAGAGACATTAAAAAATCTCACTGAGCCCAAACTTTTAAACAGTAGTATATTTGTACATTTGGGGTCAATGGGGTCAGCTATCGGTGGAATTGCTTTAGTAATTACTAACCTTTTCATATAAATGAAGTTACTAATGAACTCTAATGGTTAATGTCATTATTTTCCTCTTTTTAGGCTGGTCTGTCCCTGCCCTCTCCCGCTTCCACTCCATCCAGTCGTCTGAGCTCAAAGATCAGCTCAGCCCGCAGTTCTGCTTCACTCCATCGGTATTCACATAATCATGCTTTTATCCACAAACTATGATTTATATTCCACATGTGCATCTGCTGCTATTACAGCATAATTAACCAATCAAGTGTGACAGTTTAAACCAGACATGCGGAAAGTCCTGATTGTTGTCTTATGTGCCCCACATACACATCAGATCCTCAAATCCCTCAGCCAGCAGCAGTCCCAGAAGCCAGTCTGTCACGTCCCCTGCAGTGAAGACAGTGGATCTGGGTTTGGGCCTCTCCGTCACGTCCCCGCAAGGGTCTCGGCCGCCCAGCGCTAGCAGCAGCAGCAGGAGCAGCAAGTGCAAAAGCCCTTAATTCAGTGTTTCTTTAAAATGGCTTTGGCTGTTTAAAATTCACTTTTATGTTTTTGTTTCCTAGAAGTTAGTTTCAAGCAGAAGTACTATAACACAGTTTGATAATTGACCTTTTTCACAAAAATGCTTTTGTTTGAAAGTGCAGACACAGGTCTTGTTTCATTACTTGGATTGTGTTACGTGGCAGCAACAAGAAAGAAACAATAAAACCCTACATTTGTGAAATGCTTCGGCCCGTGATGAATCAATGTTATCAGGTGGAAAAAAAAAAAATCTGAATAACTTCCGTCTACTGCTCATTGTGTTTGTGCTGACAGTGCTGGGGTGTGTACTATTTGTTGAAACCCATGAGACTCAGACAGTTCAGTCAACACCCTCATAACAGCCTAGAAACCTGAAAAGTCACAGAATATATATTCAGACACATTTCTCCTAAAAGATCAGAACAATGGAGAACGTTTTCATCCTGTTTGTTGGATTTCTGTGTTTTTCTGTGGGAGAGTCGACCACTAACGGTGAGTGACTGATCAAACTCGTACTTCTGCTCAAAGTGGCAAAAATACTGCAAAATTACTCCTAAAACATTATAACAGTTTGCTGTTTTATACAGTAGCTGTACTAAAGTCAAAGTCTTGCCCCTGATTCATTTTGTGATGTAATGGATTAAATGATAACTTGTTGACATACTGACTTTTTCATTTACATAATTTACATATTCACTCATAAACCTGTTTTCTGTTTGGTTAATGCTACTTACAGTTGCTCCTACAACAACAGACGTGTCAACAGAAACAACATCAACTCCACTAACAGAAAACTGGGCAATGACTTCTGCACCATCAACTCAGCAGCCTGGTACAAAATTATATTTTGCTAGTTGATGCAGTTGGTATAATATCACAAATTGATATTAGTCAGCCTACAGTTGAATTAGCTGTGCCATCAGATATGAACTTGCTAGAGTCATCTTTAGTTTAAAAGGGATAGTTCAACCAAAAAATAAAATGTTGTCGTTATTTACTCATTTTCACGTTGTTCCAAACTGTATGACTTACTTTCTTCTATGGAACACACACACACACACACACACACACAGACACACAGACAAATTACGAAAGATGATTTAATTGTTTTGTCCATACAATCAAAGTAAAAGGAACTCAAAACAACATTGGACTCCATTTACCTTATAAGCAGTGTTATTTGAGTATCACTGAGATATTACAGTTGTTGTTAATATTTTGAATTAGATTTTTTTATTGGTATTTTTTGCTTTCATGTTGATTTTAGTTAAAGTTGTGTGTGTGTGTGTGTGTGTGTGTGTGTGTGTGTGTGTGTGTGTGTGTGTGTGTGTGCGTGCAGTTTTT